TGACCGAAACTCTCCCAGATCCTGCTACCGGTCTAGTCAATTTAGTTCTTCGTCATTATGCCTGTTCCCACAAATTTCATCCGCCTTATTACGGTCTCGAACACTAACTTGGAGAGTAGACTTAAGCACCCGGCTGCAATTCAAGATAACTTGAACTGAGACGCAAACTGGATTTCGGCTGAGTGTTGGGGAAACTGGCGGACCGAGACCGGTCGAATCCAGTAATTCAGCGCACCTGGCAACACAACATGTGAAGCCCCAGTTTGACTCTGAATCCGAAGTGGAATAATGAATTAAGCGGCTGGCCCATCAGGTCGGATAAGCCTCTGGGTCGGTCAGCGAAATGTGAGAGCCAATCGATGGATTGGTAAAGTCCGTTACAATGAAGTAGAAGAAATTCGCTAAAAGAAAGGTTTGTAAACCATAGCTTTTATCTATGACTACTGAAACTACTGTACAGAAAATAAGATTTATCTTCTTTGCGGACCGACAGCGAGCGTTGTAAGCGATTGCAAGTGAAATTAGCCCAATAAAGCACTCCGTCCCATGTGGTTGGTTAATTTCCTCCGACCAGGGAAATTAGCTAAGTACTATGTAGAATCTTACATTTTCCGGAACGAACCTTCCATCCTTATCGCTTACAGGTATGTTGATTGCCACGTCAAGTTAACCAATTCCGCTGAACAGCTATACACCCAGAGCTGATCGAATAACCAGAAAGTCAATAAACTTTGCGTGCCTCAGTGGCCCCGACAGAAATTTCTTACTAAGGCTCACATAAGATTTATCGAGTAGACGCGTTGCTTTTCGACGCGTTTCAGTAACAAAAACTGCGAGTAAAGGGCCAAGTCTGAACATTCACAGAGGGGTCACTATCCTTCATAGGCATCTAACTGGAGTCGTTTCCGGTAAAACCTTCATTTCAGGAAGGGTTAACGAAATCCCCTTAGCCTCTGTGTGTTAGGTAAGTGATACCAAAATCACAAAGGCAAGTCAAATGGGAGGAGAACAGAACGAATTGATTTTAGCTGGGGAAAGGGATCGTCAACACCAAATAAAGTTACGGGTGTGTTCTAATCCTGATACGAAATTAAAGCATCGATTTCCCCTGCAAGTTTATTCCTTAGTGTACTGAATAGCACGGGATCTTTAAAAAGTAAGCTGTAATGACTTTGTGTTCAACTTATAGCTCCTGTTGTACATAAGGTGCCCGTATCATGTGCCTAAAACGGATTGAATTATGTAATATTTCAATACCTAAATATCTTCATCAAATTACTTCAATATCACTTACATTACCAGATGCAATCGGCCTGTCTATTGGCCACCAATCTTTGTGTAGTGAATCCGATTTTCAGCTAAAAAGAAACCAAACTTTAGCCTGTGCTATTCCTTTGTGCGTGGTAATTAAACAGTCCGTGGGAGGAATCTGGAATCACCTGATAAACTTTACATGATAGACTAAGAATTCAAGGATATTCTTTGGATGCAAACTAACTGGGAGCAGAATCTCATATTTATTTTTGAGTAACCGAAAAATACATTAAGTTTGAAACCACAACAACGCTCAACCTGCTGTCCTAACAACAGTAGGCGTCGAAATTTTAAAAGTGCACTTCAAGATGAAGTGTGAACCGCTACAATCTACTTGTGAGAATTTGACGCCAGCCCTGAGGAAGCGTCTGAGAAATACGTGGTCATAGAGTCTTATCCTGACCACCTACCTTGCCAGATCATCTTTATGTGTCTAACAATTCGCTTGCCCCTATGAGATTCGCTACATTGATCGAATGATGAGAACGTGAAAACGTTATCATCTTTGAACATGTACTTTACTGGTCTTCTTAAGGGATCGTGAATATTATTACTAGTTCGGCACAGACACTTTGTAGACATCACATACCAAGTAGATCCCGCAATAGAAGTTATTACTATCTATGATGATGGTCCGCAGATACCACGGCGATTCGAGAGTGCAGATCGCCGCAGAAGCTGTCTGTCGGAATTGATGAGCCTCAGTTGAGTGGTCCAAGTCTGATCCATGTTCATTGCCTACAGAGGCTTAACCAGGTCGACCATTCTGTCACGTGTCAGGAGACAGCACAAGGCTACTCGACCAGAATCCGTCGCCCTGATTCATGACCTGACCTAAGACAATCCGATCCTCCACACTACTCCTAACCACCTGTATATCTGATCCCTACAATATCTGATTGGAGAGTGGGGGGAACGGAAGGCCTCCTCAGTGCAGCCGTATAAAAAGAAACATGTCAAACTATACTCAGGGCCGCTTGAATTTATTAAGATCACTCGATGGTTCATTGGATTATGAAAGTAGAGGGAAAAGATAAAGAGAACAGTGGGAACTTGCGAGCTACCCGGTAGACGAGGTGGAGCGGAACTGCTTGCTTCCGGTCAAGTTTTGGGGGCAACAGCCTTTTTACGGAAAGCAACCCGGGGACTTAGCCACCTGTGGCAAGAAGTCACGATTAAACAGCGGCGGTCCCGGCCGAATATGCAAAACATTGCATAATCAAGTCGGTATAATAACCCCGGGAAGGTGTAGGAACAGCTCTGTTGTAGTGGAACGCGATTGTGATCGGCGGAATTTTTTTGCGATGTGACTCCTCCCTGGTCGGTTGCCGGTTTCTCTTCACCTGCCGACACGAGCAGTGGAGGTTACATCTGTCTCATGACGAGACAAAGCTATGAGTCTTGCCGTTTTCTCCCCCACCGGTAAGCGAACGAGTTATGAGGCGCAGTAGTCACCTTGTGTTCCCCGGGGTGTATCCAATTTGTTCTGGATGGCCGATTGCCAAAATAAAACCTATCAATGTCACTACACATAGGCTGTGTTTGTGTAAGACATGCTCAACAACCTCATACTGTAACTCCAATTTATTCGTTCATACAGCTGGACTCTGTATCGAGTACCACAAATGACCGGATTCATTGTTCTTTTCAAACAGCACCTTCGTTGACGAGTGAAACTGATTCCAGTTGCAGTTCATCTCTTCTAGGCTCCGTAGACATACACCACTTTGACTGGGTAACTGTAACGTAGTGGACGAGTGGCCTACTTGCCGCTAAGAAGCCTGAATTTAGGAAGTCTTCTCACTACTGGTGTGTATGTTAAGCTCAGATACAACAACCCGCAACCTAAGGCACACTGTGCGATCTAGCCTAGTCTAGTGAAGTGGCTAGCACTCATGGACCGACCAGATCAAAGTTACTGAAACGGAGAGACCCAACAAACCAACCACATGCAAGATAATCGGACCGCCACACAACCCGAAAAAGCCAATCGAATTAGATACTGGCTAATTTGCAAACAGCCAATCACATCGCACATATCAACTGATTTCCGGCAACTATGTAAACGCAAGCAGAAGTAGAATTTTCACCGAAGCCGCGCACTGACAGCGCCTTTTAGCGTGATAACGAAACGTCTGCAAGTAAATCGTCATCCTCGGTGGGCAGATTTACTGCAACTTGGTCAACACTCAATTGCTGGCATTCAGTTCATTCTTTCTATGGAGTTCGAAGCACACTTAGACCATCCCAAATGCATATTCCAAGAGCTTTGTACTGACTACACTAATTCGAATCAATGACAACCTGAATATCACCCTGGTTACATGCCGCAGTATTCAGGTTATTTGGGCTCAAACAACTAAAAAAATTACGTCCGCCACAAGTTCGCTCCACCATGTTAGTTACATGCTCATCCCTTTGTTTTGAATACGTCACTATTCTGATCACTCTTCGCACACAATATGAGCCTAAACTGTTCAGTTACATCCACTTGAATTGGCAGCCAGGGGCTGCCAGCTGGATATGCTGATGAGAGTAGAGCCACATTACTTGTTCATCCACCTGGCTTATTCCTTCGAATTTACACCAGCGGAGTGGAGTTCAGACCGATCCACATGCTTCTCAGCACAAATGGCACGTGGCACCACTCAACTTGTTCGGGGTTATATCGGCATAGTCTAATGTGATAAGTAAGGTTCCGGAAACGGACGGCAGCCAAATATGTTGCCACCAAACTATCCAACGTATGTGGCTCCGAATCATTCAAGGGCACTATTGAATCAGTCATTACCATCATTTTTGGTTAATTATTATTAACCATTATGGCCTGTTGAATCCAGAACTAAGGTAATTATTGTCCTCTTCAGCTTTCACGTACTGAAATGATCTTTGGATAAATGAACATAACTGACTGTGTGAATGTCAACTAGATTCGACAAGGAGTGCCAAATCCATGTTTCGAGCGCACAAACAGTATGCAGTAGTAAAATGTTAGTTGGCAGGGCGGTCATCTTTGTTTGATGCCTATAAGATACAGTTCTTCGACTACTCCGCAACACATCCAAACGCAATCAACTCGAACGCTTAGTTATCAGTTTCATGGTACATGGTCACTATGTAACTTCCATGTCTCCACTGGAGTCTCAGTGTGATCATATACGGTACCTATCAGTCAGTAACCATATATATAAACTTGGTTGAAATCGATATGAGCAGCGGGATATTTTGACTTTTACGTCCAACAGCAGATTTAGACGTATTAGACAATGCAGGACCGAATCACTTTTGATGCATTGAATGTTACGTGCCTAAAACGATCACTGCTGAAAATGGGTGCTAGTAGTCTCGTATTCTTGGTTGTTGATAAGGTGGCTTTCGATCTGTTCGTCGTATCCGTTGTTCCCTTATTTCCAGGACAACCTCGGTTACAAGAAGTTCAATTGTGAACACTCGTCTACAAAACTATACCCATATACCAAATGGGATGTGGAACACAATGATGACAGTAAACTGAATCGAGAAATAAGCGGGGCTAATAAGCTAACTAGACTGGCTCTAAACTTTTTTTGCCTTGAAAATCTGGAGTATTCGTAGAAGAGACGAAAATTCCATTTCCATACACATGTCCGGCCATCGTAGAATATAAAACTACACAGACTACAATTGGCCAAATTTGCATTGTAGTAGAAGTGACAGATTCGGCGCAAGGGGTACGAAAAAAGTGGACGAAACACTGTACAAGTTCCATTGTTTGTCCGAGCAGAGTGAAAACAAATGTCAGGGGTAACGGGAGTGGCGGTCCACACGATTTGGTGTCAGTGACCGTAAATGGACCGGTGACTGCAATCCTCGTCGATGGGAAGATAATCTGTAAGAAAGGAAACCGACAAGGATTGCAGACCAACGTCGACACGGAATCATATGCAATTTAGGAATAAACAACCGGTCTATAGTACCTGATCGCGGATCGATCAGTCCCAAAAACTTTGACCACACTAATTACATATAAATCCATGATTAGTTCCAAAAAACATGTTGGGGCTCTTGATAGAACACTGCCCACAAGCTTGCTAGAAACTCCTCGATGGCCTCGACCGGTTTCACCCTTCTCGGAGCGCATCAGATTTTAATGAGAGACTCAACTGGGTCCTAGCTGAATCTCTCGTTTATGAACCTCGAAACGTGAGGATCAGCTGGGGTTCGCCCATTAAAGCCGAATTGGTGTGCAAGTGAATGTAGTTCGCTAACGCTGAGGCTCTGTTGAATATTGTGAACAGAGCATGTTGGAAGACGGGTTCAGAAGTCGTGCGTTTTATCTACGAGAATAGCGTGTACAGTTTAGGCTTCAAAAAATTGATTCACGCGGGAACAAAAAACACCAAAGGGAACAAGACAAAGTGGCAAAAATAAAATACGTCTAATGACTGCGGCAGACACAGGTGTGTCGGATGTTGTATCGATTATATTAGGAAGGTCCTCATACTTGACGGCATAGCAACCTCGCGATTACTAGATCAGATCAAAATCTAAAACTCCACTAGATCGGGATACACCAGTTTTGAATTACACAGAAAGATAACGTACAATATAAAATTGATAAAATTGAATTCATGTTGCTGGTTTATTCACCCAGGTGGGCATTTAGGTTGAAAACAATTCACCACAAGTCGGGGACATGCACATCAACAGTTTGTCCTGAGTTTTTGATCAACGAAGTGCGTATGTGTATAACATGAGTTTAAAACCTGGATTGTGCATCGGTCTAGATTTGGGGCTGGAATTCTCATAGGTTCATTGGCTGACCAAGGTCAGCGCACAATCATTTAGGTTCAAGACAGGTTTGGCGACCATTTTGACGAATGTGATTGTTGAGACCCAAAGGGATGGCGGTCAGTGTATAATATAGGATCACGTGAAAAAATCATATTAATGAACGTGCTCACTTAATTTACATTCGGGCATCTACAATCTAGCCCAGTGCATTTGGCCTTCCAAGAATTAAATAAACAGGCATCCAGTTTGTTGCTGTCACAATTGTGCAATGACCGTGAAATTGCTTGTCGACTGTGAATTTATTCACTGAGGTGGGCGATCCCGAGGTTTCTTCATAATGTTGGCCTCATTTTTGCCTAATTGGAATACTATGAATTTACTCGGTCTGGTCTGGAGAAAGAGAGAAGTATGAGGTATGGTGTGGACTAAACAATATGATTGGGTTGATCGCGCGTGGGCGGACGAATGAGCCCAAGTCGGCTGCATGTGGAGAAAACACAGACACACTTAATTGCGAAGATCAATCTGTTTTGAACAACTCGACGTTACTTTAGCATTAATTTTCCAGTTTGAAAGGAGTCTTACTACTGAAGAATATAGTAGCTGCTCAAGACAAACACATGTTTGTCTGTTTAGAGGGATGTGAGCACACGAGTAATGGGTTAAGGTGAATGAGAAGAAGAAAAAACAACTACTTCCAATAAACCGTCCAGGCAGTCATGCGTGAAAAGGAGATAAGGTGAACACAGTATGCACGAACGGCGCGATTAGCACCAGAGGCCAACCAACGATCAACAAAGAGGACAGTTTTCAGGAAAAAACGGTGGTCTCGAGGGGCTTGTTTACAAACACACGGACGATAAGAACTTTTTATTGCACAGATGTTGAAACGTTGTCAGCGGTTCCCAGTGTGACGAGAAGGAAACAAAAAAAAACAACTCTATGGGCCGACGAGCACGATGGGGAAAGTATTCTGACTCATTTGGTTCAAGTTATTCCCAGTTCTCGTAGAGATCCTCATTAAAGGACAAAAGTTCGGAGAGCTGCGTAACTAACAACTCAACGACTCGGGGGAAAACGGTTTGTGGCGGGGGGTGAACTCAGCTGTACAACAAAAATGACAACCTGGTGTTTCACAATATGGACCAAACCATCCAATTAGCCGAGAGTACATCATGAAAAACAGGGAGTCATAAAATCCAGAAAGTGTGGTGTACTAAATCAATCCGATGGATCTCCGTTAGTCCATTATATCTGAAGCTGACACAAAGCAAGCTAGAAAATTGCAGCTAAAACCGAAAATGCGCTTGGTTAGCTGGCCTAGCTGTATTCGTGTCAAAGTGACGTAAAAACAATACCGTATTCTTACGGTAGGTTGCACAACCCAATGTTTTTCTCATTTTCTCATTCGTAGACGATTACTTCAGTTAGGTCCTCAACTAAGTCAGAACATCGCCCGTCGGTCACCTGTCCACGCATACTGGAAGGCATACTGAAGTTTACGGGTGTGTTAAGTTCCATTGACGGGTAATACTTTCTTCGTCTAACTCGGGGTGGCACAAGTAAACAGGTAATAAACCTTCAACCTGAAATAAGGGTGTAAAAGCGATGGCAAAAGTTTTGGGTACTGTCAGTTTGACTCGTCTCCCGACATGAGTATGCGTCAACCTGCCTGTGGGCAGCCGGATACGCTGCAAAATATGACTGTTAATCGACATCACTGGCGCTTTTGGCGTCACTTTCTATTCAGATTATCCGAATGTGTGAAGACATACAGACAACTGGGAGAGTGGTGAGTAGACGAGAACCAGGACCCTTTCCCCCTTCATTTACTTTCACAACAAAGCGATAGTGAAGCAAAAACGACTTTATGCTGAGATGATGATGACGATGAAAATGAGTACTTGGCACGACTTTGCCTGGCCTGAACTAAGAGAAATCAAAACAGATGCAGTTATATGATTAGTTCTATCGCCGTATATAAGAATATCACTGAGAATCGAAGGATGGCATTATGACTCAGTAGTTTGTTCCCATTAATAGTATCAGGATTTCCCACCTAAGGGTTGCACTCTGGTGTAGAGTACTGTAGTCCGTCACCGGTGAGTCTTGCTGTTAGCAAAACACTCTTAGGTATCGTGGTGTGGTACAAATGAATTGCAGGAACCTAGTCAGTGGGTAAACTACAAATCGAGTGCCAAAGGTATAACGATTGTAGTGTATATTGACCATGGATGCGACTGATTTACGACTCTCATTGGTTGTAACTGAGACGCAGATCGTTGCTTCTTCTAATAAATACCAGTCATTAGAATGGGTACCCACACAATGCATTCACTCAGGTGTTTGATTCAACCAAATGGGGTTAAGATCATTGATTCCGAAGCCGTTTGGAAACTGGGAAGATGATATCTACGTATCGGTTGCACCGCTCAATTGTGCTACGCAAGCCCTCAAAATCTTTACACATGCCGACACTGTTTGGCCTCCGTGGAAATGAAAATAGGTACCGAATAGATTAGGAATGATGTAGCTTAGAAACAGAACCACCCATCCAATCTCAGATACGTCAGTGAATGCCATTTTATAAGCTATTGGACGATGGTTTCTATTAATATGGCGACCTCATGAAGTTCTTTGGGCTCCGCATCCTAGTGATTCTATTTTATTCTGTTCCACCAGCATCATCGTCGTTATCATCATCACCGACAGCATGACATCAGTGTTCAACACCCATGCTTTGCTGCCGAACTCTGTTTTGTTCCAGGTACGGTCAAACAGTAGAAATCTAGTAGAAATCTAGTATGCGATTTACAGTTGAAAAACCAAATCTTTGGACAACCTCGTCGAAAGGACCGGTATAAAGTTCTGTTCGAACCGTACCACGAAGCAGAATTTCCAGCTGCTATGGCTTCGTTCACCGAAAAGAAGAATCAGTGAACAAGAGCCACGCGTTAAAGGTGATGGTCCGTCAAGTTCATTGGAGTTAATTGGCCCTGTGGAATCGGAATACAGCGATCCACACACTCCCGAAACTTTATGCACCCAGTGGAAGCGGTAGCGTTCGGAGTAAAAATTCCCCTAAAAACCAGACTACTTGTATCAGTTATAGTAGTCTCGCGAGGTTCATGTGGCCGCTGCAGGAACCACCATTGAGGAAGATCCAACCCAACGCAAGCCTATGTTGGCGAAATCTAATCACAAAACATGTGCATTGTCAAAATAAGAGACAGAGTAGTAAGCTAAGGGTTCTGTATATTAATTGGGGAGAGTTCCTACCCAGACACTTCTAGAGCAAATCATTTGGAGGATAAAAATTGATCCCAGTGGCAACTTCTTATTGAGCAGAGACTAGGGTAGATGTTCCGAACGATTGTGTTATCAAAAAAACCTCGCAAACTCCCGACGTTTTGTCACAGTTGCACATGTTTTTGATGAATAATAAAAACGATTTAAAGGCGTTCAATCCCATTTCTAGATTGTTCGGGCTTTCCCGTCCAGCCTTAGCGGAGTTACTTCCGTGAAGGCGACAGAGACCGGTTAAAATAACAACAGCCAGAGTTGAAAAGGAGAAAACTAAGGCAGCAAACATTGTCAAAATATGAAGAAATCTATCTAAGCCAGTTGATCCGCTTACCTTCCAGTTTCTTGAGTTGGCCAATGTTGGACGCCACGCTGATTGAAAGGTCTTGAATGAGAATAAGGGGCTGACTGACTTCCACCCGCAGCACCTGGACGACCATATGGCGACGAGCGACCTGAATCCGATGACATGAATCGCCCACCAAACGATCTCGATGAGTCATCGCCTTTTGGTACTGGTGGGTAAGTAAAAATGCGATGTTGATCACAGTGGTTATGTGATGACATCAGCGGCTTGGAGCGACTCGTCGTTCAATCCAAAGGAAAAAAATATATAAATATAGCTGTCCCTCATAGCGGACTNGTGGGTAAGTAAAAATGAGATGTTGATCACAGTGGTTATGTGATGACATCAGCGGCTTGGAGCGACTCGTCGTTCAATCCAAAGGAAAAAAAAATATAAATATCGCTGTCCATCCATAGCGGACTTAGGCCTAACGCCCTCTAGATGAGTACATTCACTCTTGCTCTTGTGTGTAATCACCTGGTTTTCGGAACAGATTCACAGTGACTTTAGAGGCCTTTAACAATCTGGGGAAAGGGACACTTAAGTGAATCTCTGTGAAATCAATTAGAATATCAAATTATATATCAGACGAACGACACACCGTTAGCCGGATTAAATTTTCCGATACCCTATACAAGAAGTTAGCGCATGCTGTGTTCAACCTCCTAAACAAGCTCAGGGTTAAAGTTGTTCGTTGGGAACACGCTCAATTCCTGGGGATGAAATATTACATCGGCAGATTTTTGCCGACAAGAGTGGCACAGTTACACAGCATACGAGTAAAGTTGGTATTAATCTAGGGCAACGTACGCGATTCATCTTGGGATGTAAATTTCATTCCGCTCTGAGTTGTTTGCATATATTTGGGATTACGAAGTCTGGTGGATGAAGGTGGTGATGGTAGCCTACTGCGTCGGCTAGGGGATGGGGTTCTCTGTGAGTGAGGTCGAACTGCCAGCGCGCCATGCTTAGGGGGAGCCCGATCACTCGCAGCATCTGGATGAGATGCTGGAAAGTGCAAGGAACGAGTTCCGCGACCAGACGTTTGCGCATCGGAGGAAGTGGAGGACGAATCAGAGAGGTCCTCGGGTATAGACCCGGAAGCGATAGCGACAGCTCGCCGTTCGTTCCGCGCACGTTTGTCTTCTTGACGTCTGAGCAAAAGGGCCTGTCGGCGTAACCCTTCTTCACGTAGCTGAGGAATAAAAAAGAGCGAGTGAAAAATGGAACGATACTGACATTCTGATCACTATAATTAACATTATGCCGATGAAGCAAGATGGTGAGGCACTGTAACTGTATAAAAAGGGACAGCGGCAAGACGTCGATATGGGATGTGTGACTATTTCTAAGGTTCACAAAACGGTGTACATCGAAGACACTGATTATATAACCACAGGAGACCCGTACTTTCTGCAACAAAATGTCAGCGAACCTTCCGGGTTAATAATGGCACGTTTCGCAAACTTGCTACCCTGTTTTCCTGGAAAAAACGTTGTGCTTTACTGTTTCATGTGTAGCATTCTTACGTTCTCACTCACGTTTGTTCCGGAAACAGTTGTCGTTGTTAGAAGTTTGATCTGTTCATAACTACTACTCATTTAACCTGAAAACGACTTAGAAACGAGCAAATCTGTCGATATTAGAGAGACGGTCGTCATTCAAAGCCAAAGACGACTCGTGTATTGCGCGGCCATATGGCCGTTTTGGTGTGTCGTTAAACAGAAGGTGGTTAAACCGAAAGAGCATTACCGTGTTACAAAATATCATCCTTATGTGCCTAAACATTGCATGCTTTCAATCGGGTTGGAAACATGTTCGAAAAGGAATCCAAAAATGGAACAGATAGGTAGATAGTACTGAAAAGTCCGTGTATTACAGTCCTGAGTGACGGGTGACAATCAACAAGCAGTGTGGTTAGCTTCATTTCCTTCACCCAAGTGATGACGTGGGTTCTTTGCTCCCTACTCGAGTGATAAAATATGGGGCGCCAGAAAATTTCCTGCAAAACTAGGGACACAGATGGGTAATACTAGGATTCCTCCTCCCCTCGGGATTCAACATTTAATGCTTTTCTTTGCAAAAGTTCATTTACCCTACTGAACACTAATACGTTGCTCCCAAGATAAGCTTCTAAGTGTGGAACAACACTGTTCGGCTCAAAAATTATTTTCGTGACGACAGAGTGTGACCCTCAAGAGGGGGCGCTCTACGAAACGTCTTACTTAGGTCAAAAGTTGCCTCATGTGCATTAGCCAAAACCTCTCTCGAACTGCTACGACCCTTCACTAGTTGGCGTCAATTTGTGGCGCACACACGGAGGGTCGTTAGATGAAAAAGAGTGCAAGTTCTAAAGGTATTTAGGATAATTTAGGTGACTCTAATCAGCTGCTGACGAATGCAGACGGTCGCCTGACTACTGGTAACTAGTCAGTAGGTCGTCGTCGTCGCGCTCACACAATACTCCATAGGCGACGAAAACAAATTCCAAGTAGTCCATAATCTTCCACTGCTAGGCATCAATTTACGCACATAGTGAGATATTGAACGAAAAGATACGTTATAGACCAGGCCCCCTTAACGATAGGGAAGGGTCTTGAAAACAACCCTGGCTGTATTCATACAAATCCCCAAGTGCGTAACGTGTTCGCTAGCAATAGATGCTGTTTGCCGATCCCAACCGGCCTCCAACATGAAAATCATTGCACAGGGTTTTTCTTTCAGTGTTGAAGAGTTCACGAATGTCCCTTTTCAGAAAAACAGCAGCGAGTTCCCGATTAGTGAAACCTCCAATTAAAAATTAAACATCGCCATTCCGCTGCTGAAAAAGTTAGTCCTCTGTCAGAATTATCAGTGGACAAAATGAACAGGTAAGGGGAACAGGGTAGGTAAGACAAGAAGGTCGAAACAGCTGGCTAATAAAGTCGGCAGATCCATCGTTCTTGTGCATAGTGTCGTTGGGATATTAAAAAATTTAGGAGGCGCCGGACCATGGAGCAGAAAATTTCACGGATTCAGCGGCAGCCTAAATATCCAAAAAAGCTATGATGGTAGAGGCGCTGGGAGGCAGAACGATTCCCCATCAGTTGGTTGGCAAAACCCTACCAAAAACGAAGGCCGGCAGATGGTGACACACTCGAATTTTCGATGCTATTTTAATATGATTTAATCCAGGATGGTTTGAGTAGGACGTTCACAGGCCTACTTAAAAGAAAATAAGAACGGAGCGTTGAGTAGGAGGGAGAGATTTTTCACTGGGTACGGAATTGGGTTGTAGAATAAGCAGAGTGAGAGGTTGGCGAACTTTTGCAAAAACGCAAAACAGAAAAGCAAAGGAGGAAACAGGCATGTCATGGTGCATTGATGAGATGCACAGTAGGTCAGCCATGATTTTACGGAGGTGAAAGGATGGGAAATGCTAACTCGTAAAACAAGGCAAGGGATGTAAAATCTCGCCAGTGAATTTCTTCAGGCTATCGGTCGGAGGATAACGTGGCATTGTGGAGTACAACAGCATCCTGGGGTAGGATGAGTTCGTAATTTATAGAAAAGTTGAGCTAGTTGTAGCAGGGACCTCAAAATACGAAACCAGCCTTCTTAGAGTAAAGAGTCGCAAGTAGTTTCAAATAAACTGACCACGAAGGGTAAGTGTCAGACCATGATTGGTGGGGGACAAAGGTAAATGAGGTTCAGTCGAAAGTTGAACGATGTGCGAAAAGCACCAACAGGGATACGGAGATGTGAAATGATTTGGATGGGTTATTGTTGCAGTGGACATCCCAGTTCGACAGACCTAGTCAGTCTCTCGATAGCCAAATAATCGTTAAGTGGCAATGCGTTGGGACGAATAATGATGAATGCGTGAATATGGGGAAAAACGGACGACAGTAAGCCACTGATGCAAAGAAGGGAAGAAGTATATGTGGGGGGAAATAGATACCCAAAGGGCTTCTCCGCTTGATATAGAAGGTTGGCAACTCATGTGGTGCAAATGAAGGCTGAGTTGTTTGTCGGGCTTGACAATTCTCTTGCAGACGCCTTGTCGCCAAACGAGGAGATATCATTTGTTCGTGGTTGAGTAGTGGTCCGCCGTAGTTTAGAACAGCACCAATCCTGGCGATGGCGTTCGGAGTCTTGTCAAAGTGTACTTGAATGGGGCGCCTGACAGCCCCATTCGATTAATCATGTTGGGGTACAAGCCATAAACGAAGAGCCTTTTTAGGAGGTTCTCATTCTAGATACAATCAAATGCTTCCAAATTTTTCAAAAAATTGCTCAATTTGATTAGTTGAATTGGGTTAGAAAGGCCATAGGTGAGACGTAAAGTCAACGTCACCAGTGGGGCGGTGGGGTATGAAACCGTATTGATGATCGCTCAGGAGGATGATGTGTTCAAGAATGTACTGAAGTTGTTAAGCTTGTAATAGAAACAGGATGACAATTGCTGCGGTGAGATGGGAAAGCACGTTTACGAAAGGGTAAGTGTAGTAAATTCTTCCAGGAGGGCGAAGAAGTTGAGACACAGAAGAGTTTTCGGATGATTAGGATAAGTTTTAGTGTTGCATCTTGGGAACGAAATTGTTACGATATCATTAAGCCCAGGTAATTCGGGGACTTCAAGATCAAACAAAGACCGGTGAACGGAAATAGAGTGGCGAAGAAGGATGGACAGATGGGGAGTTTGGAATGGAATTGTCCACTAAAACGGTGATCAAATAGGATTTTGGAAGTGGAAGAAACTTGGGAGCGCCATAAAGACCGAATATGGGAGGGGAAGTGGAGAAACGAAGGTCACAACTGACTAGTTCAGTCACACGTTCCCAAATCAACATCGTTCCTTGTGACTTTTGTATGTTTGGTAGATCTGTGGAGATGAATAGAGTAGAGTTGCCAGTTGAATCAAGCCTTGGAGTGTTCCATCTATTGTTAGGTTAATATTCGACGGGGGAAAA